GAATCCAGTATGTCCTGCCTAAATACGGCGACTATAAAAATACGGCCTCAGTGCCACTTAATTATATGGTCTAAATTTATCATAAACGCATAACTATATAGTAAGTCAATGGAGCTATGTGTATAAAATGCTTAAGGACAATATAGTAGCTTTTAGAAGAGTTGATTCAATAATCACTTTTTGTGCGCAAAATCTACTTCAATTAAGCAATTAAAGGTAATGTATTACTACAAACAACACTAAACGCCTAATTATGGGATCCTTCTTTTTAAACAGGATATACTGGTGGCACGGCATCACTATTCCTAATTTAAAGCTTTTTCAGTAATTATATATATATGTGCTCGAAAAGGCTACTAAAATGAGATGAATTTACAGGATACGTAGAGAATAGATAAGAGATTAAACCATCAAATGATTGGTCAGGCAATAAGACCCAGTTTTAAATGGAAATTGATTATTTTATTGTTAAATTTTCTTCAAATTTCATCTCAAAGATGCATGCGTATTCTAAGTAAATGCTTTGTGGTGTTTCTAAAATATTTTTAGATCCCAAACATTATAGATATAGATAGATCTGCGGATGGCGATCCTGAAAAACAGCGTATTTTATTCAAGAATGATATCAAACAAAATGAACAGTTAGATACCATATAAATTCCTTGCATTTCTCTAATAAATATTATGAATATGTATGATAACATAACATTAAGATCGTAGATTTGGATGATGCTCCGGCTTACCATCTTTGGTATATGTAAATGAAAAAGATCACGTCGTCTCGAAGACAGGCGATTCTATGTGTAGTTGGCATTTTGATAATGAATGCAAAAAGATCATCAGTGAAGGTGTTGAAAGCCTTTGGCAAAAAAAGCAAAGGTAGTTATTAATAATTCTTATTCCAGGAAAGAAATGATATGGCGTGATAATGCCTAGTAATATATCGAAACCTCATAAACAGATGTAAACATTGCTTTGAACAGGGCAGTATGCTTAATAATAATTTAGCTAATAGAATCTAGTTGATAATTATTTAGAAAACTATAAAACTGTACAGTATTGTGCTTGATTTGGGTTCTCAAACCAGTCAACCTCTAAAATACAGCTGTATCGTCTAATTTTGACTATCTATCTAGCTGACCAGATAACGTAGACTTTTATTGTTTATTAATATAGGCCAAATAAAACTTAACGAGAATGATATAGCCCATCAAAGGGCTAGAAAAGTAATTTTTAAAAATGAGCGTACATTTTTATCAATAACAAATTACTGCCATTGTTAGTCTAGTTGAGGCTAAATAGTTACTTTACAGTCAAAACCTTGGAGACCTTAATATTCATTAGGATTGAGGCTAAAATCAATTGCGAGAATTTAAGTTGAGGTTAGGTCAAGTAACAGTAATCTAATAATCAAGTAAGAAACACTGTTGGTTCAAAGAAGATAATAAGGCATTTTCTCACCTTGTAAGTAAGAGCCCTCCATGGTAAATGGGCTACAGATTTGAGCCTATAGTTGATGAAAATCTGAGGTGACATAAGTAAGAAACCAGTTGCGTAGATGACTGAAGATAAGTAGGTAGAGAAATAAAGAAAAAAATGAGTACTGCAAAACAATGAGTTTTTCTACATTAAAAATTCCCATACTACTAAAATTAATTGTAATGTATATAAGCGGCCGTCTTACCCAAACAAATTTCATCAGACAATAAATGGTTCTAAAACTAGGCCTATAAAAGAATCCCAGAAGGGAACTTGAATTTATTGGTTTAAAATACATTTCATTTCAATTATCTTATTTAGGCTAGAAGAAGGAAATAGAATTTGCACTGCTGCCAAATAGCAGTAATAGTCCACATATAATATCAAGGAGACTTAAATTAGCATGCGAAGTGGTAAATGGAGAAAAATAAGAATATTCTAAGAGACTGAAGATTTATTCATTTCTCTCAACAATTTTTCCACCAAAAACTAAGAAATTATGGTTTGGGAAATTTTATTATGGCATATTATTTTGGTATCAGACAGGAAGTAACTAAAATTAATTCAGAGAAAATTTAGATACGAAGACCAAGATGTTCTGGCCTATAGCCTAATAAAACTCTGAGAAAACAAGGATTCAACAAGATAAGCAAAAGAGAGACGCCTGGATCAATAATCTATAGTAAATCAGAGGAAGAGGGATCGCAAGGAAAAGGGTAAGCAAGTTTCGAAAATAAAGAGAAGAATGCGGTCAACTCGAATGAACAGCTACAACCTTTGGGGCCTGACGTTTTAGACGACTATGGAGAGGGATTGGGTCACAGAAATTGAGCATTATGACTAAATTTATAAATAATCCAATTGAGATAAAGCAGGCGACCAGAGATAAGGGTCCACAGTTTGCTCAAGGTATACGGGTTTAATCAAAAAGATTATGTGTAAAGTAGCTCTGCGAATGAAGCGACGTTGAACATCTTGAGGAATAGTACCTGGAGCAAAAGTACACTGGGACTAGAACCGAGTGAAATCGGTCAACCAGAAAGATAAGAAACGAACCTACGGGCCAATGAGGTAGATCCAGACAAGAGGCTAGAGTTGGATCAGCAAGAATCGGAAAAGCAATTAGCAGGTATACCCTTTTGAGCGGATTTCATGATAACTCTCTACATCCCACACTGGTTTTCTCACCCCTCTTCAACCTTGTGCTGGGAATGTTGATCTGAGTCTGCCATATTGTTTCGCAGTCCTCATCCCATAAATCTTATCAGGCTCCCTTTTGCCGGGTAGGATCCGTCTGCTATCTCCCTTATTCAAGTATTTTATTCGACCCTTGCCACGCTATCTGTGCTACTCGAGGCGTTCTCTTCCACACTGTTTTTAAAGGCTAATTTGAGGCTATATAGCCCTGGTAATTTTCATGGTCAAGCCTTTGCTTCATAGACCAAGTCTACTGTTAGCCAAATTTATCTAGTCTCTGCCACATCTATCGTGTTTCTACCCATAGTGCCAAGTATATGACTTCCTATGCCCTAGTCTCTTGTGTAAAAACCCGCAAATGTTGTAGTTATACATTGAACCGAATCAAAACAAGTAGTACCATAACATTTGTGGGTTGGCACACACTAAAGCATAGCAATTCATAGACTTGGTATTAGGGAAAGAAATAGGATAGACGCGGCGAGACTAGAGCCAGTTGGTTGACAGTAGACGTGGTCCATCTAGCAAAGGCTTGACCATAAAAATTACTCAGGGTCTTTAGCCTCAAGTTAGTCTAGCAGACGCAGTGTGTGAAATAACGCCTCAAGTAACACAGATGGAATTGCAGGGGTCGAGTAAAGTACTTGAAGTATGAATATAGCAGACGGATCCTACGAGGCAAGTGGGAGACTCTGATAAGACCTAGGGAAGGAGGACTGCGTAACAATATGGCAGACTCTGTTCAGCATTCCCAGCATAAGGGTGAAGGGGGTGAGAACGCCAGCGTGGAGTATGAAGAGTTCTCATGAAAGCCGCCACCACACCATTCCACATTTAAATAAGCAAGTAAAAATTGTAATAGTGAAAGGGTGATACGAGGATATAGGATTGGTGAATAGCACAAAGCAGGAAGGATATCCCAATTTTTTAGCAGACAAATGGTCAAAGGATCGACTTTACTTGTCCCTTTGACGAGTTGCAGTGTGATGCTAAGAGTGGCAAGGCTCACTGATGACGCAAGCGAAGCGTCTGGGAATTTACCTCGTCCACAGTTCGACTCTGGAAATTAGCATGCATACTATGGGCTCCGGACTAGATGTTCTCCTCTAGGTCTTCTTACCAATATGGTCAAGTTGCGAAAACAAGGTCAGGCAACTTCTATACAACGAAAGGAATTAGCGACCATACAAAAGGTCATATCATCTTGATTTCCATACCTTCGAAAAATAATTTTAGTTTAAGTCTGAAAGAAAGGAATATTAGCTGATATAATGTAAACGGCTTCAGAGGAAATTACTTACAATTAACGAGAGTATGGAGAATCCATGAGCGCCAACTGTAAGAAAAAATTAAAGTTAGCCATAAGGGAAGACGGAAATTTTTTTGGAGATAAACAAAATTATAATATTGAAAAAAGCAAGCCATAATAGACAAATACTACCAAACAAAAGTCCACACTCTCTTGGTCTTCATATCTACAAGCCATAACAAAGTTTACTCAATTAGAAGACATCTTTAACTCTTAACAGGCATAACAGATAAACATAAGTTCTAGCAAGTATAGATCAAGCGCAATTGTTTAAGAGCAGTATTACCAGATGCGATAAATCTTCGAGTGATATCAGTACGAAAATATCCAAGGATAGACTGGATTTAAATGTCCTTTTGTAAATAAATTAATGTATACTAAAGCTAAGTATACATTACTTGAATGAAAGGTACATAAATAGAGTATGCATAGGTCATCGTATTCAGTAATATGGCCTATAAAAATGGGAGTGGGCTCAGCAATAAGAAAATCCACACACATGAGTACAAATTGTTGATGAATAAAGATTTATCTTTTTGTTTAAAATTGTAATGAAAATAAATAATACGAAATCACGTAAAGCATTGTGAAAGGAAAATTGTCCCAGTAACGAAATAAACTTTTTAATAATGATTTGTTTAAAATTAAATATAAAGAAATCATAGTTGCCAAACACAAGTTGACTTGATGTGAATAGTAGGGCGGAACTTGATTAATCTTAAATCACTACATAACACTTGAGAATGCCTTATAAAATCGTAGCCAATTGTATTTTCTACTAATCAAATTAAAAAATAGATGATGTAGGAACTTCTGCATGAAGGACATTTTTATATTGCATTTAAATTCAAAATGTAATTTATACACCAACTTGCCTAAACGAGCCCTATATAGCTTTGGGCTTTATACATAGAGAACTAGATACACCTTAAGAGGTTGGAAAACGCATTGGAAACTGATAAAGGGAGATAAAAATTGGCCCTCTGCTACTGACCTTGAAAACTCTTGATACACTAGAGAGTACCCAGCATATGCAATGGCCAGAGGTAAAACAATCCAGAATAGCCATCGCATCACTTGGGCGTCAATTTCATCCGTCGCTTTCTCCTCAATTGATCTCTCACCGAAATGAACGAGCCCAGACAGGCCAGGTCCAGGCCTGCTATTTTCTTTGCTACTCGAGTCTAGACTGTTGGAGTCACCGGCATCTAGTTTAGGAGAGTTGGGATCTGAGGAGGATCTCACAACTTTCTGGGCAGTATGGATGGCCGGAGGCCAATTAAAGCAGAACTTCGAAATACGCATCAGTTTCCAGATCTCCAAGAAAAAGGCAAAAGCAATTGGCAATTGAACTAGTAGACTGCTCTGCTCCTCCCAAAGATGGAAGAAAATTATGAATAGGCTAAAAGAGCGCCAAACAACTGTAAATGGGATTTTAAACAGTGGTAAAGGTTGAGTAAGAGGATAATTTACATTTATAATGAAATGTTGATAGCTTTTATGCTGATAGACTACAAGAAATGGACAGAGGCTATAATTGCTTATTAGACTGATGTGCAAGATAAAATAAGAGACAACATTTTTAGAACTCTCGGTAAAATGTCTATGTCATATGATCCGCAGTTGGCTTTTATTCATACATTCATTAAGTATTATTCTTTCGACACAAATACAGGGTATTTGCTAAGGATAAGGAAAAATCAATTTTTATAAAAAGAATAAAACAATATAAAATAGAAATACGTTCGATATCAATTCAAAATC